TTATCCCCAAACAATATTCTATTCTTATTCTTCAAAACTTTAATTGCATGTGTGCTGGGATCATCTTGGCTTTTATGTCATTTCAACCTCTTTCCCTCTCATCTCATACTTCATTATCATTATCTCACAGGCTTTATATCCAATTTATCCAATTGCACATAGCAGTTTGGTTAAGTGTCTTATTTGTCTTTATTTTAATGAGGCTTATAAAATTTTTCTTTGATGCTGTTCCTCTTTGAATGTTTGATAATTTGTTACTAATTTTTTATCTTTTAACCACTTTCCCCTAAATTTTCTTAAATCATTGCATTCTTCACCCCAAAACTCTTTCTTGCTCATGTCTCTTTATTTTGATTTTAATATATGTTTATAAAGTATACATTCACATCTATTGTGATCAACAGAAGGAGGTAGGCAGATGGGATTCTAAATTTTAATTTTTTTGAATTATTATGCATCAGTTTTATTTTCAATTTTGTGTTTGTTTCATACAGGAATGGGATATCTGACAAGCTGGATTCTCACCTGCAATACCATCTTGAATTCTCCTGGCATGTCATGAGCAGGAATTTTCCTATTCCTTGGTAGGGTGCCAAAGACAAGGACATTCTCCTCCCTCAATATAACGAACTTCTCATTTTCTAATGACTGACATTTTGGGTGAGAGTAATATGTTTGGTATGTGTTATAATTTCCTATCATTTCTTTGGCATTAGTTGTATTTCCCAAATAGAGGAGCATTGCTGGCCACCTGGCTACATTTCCTGTTCCCTCAAAAGCCAAAGTCCACTGAAGTTCTCAATTTTAAGTCCCTTGATTTTGTTTCTAATCATCCGTGCTATGAAGCATCATGCTATAGATCTGAGTTCAGCATTGCAGCACTTCAGTTTGGGTCCTGTTTTCTTCTGTGCTTTATCTAGGGTCATTTCCTCAATACCTTCCCCATGTTGTCTTTTCAGCGTCTCAACACCTGCTCTATAGACACATGCTAATATCAAAAGAGAAGCAACTGATTTACTGAAATCTAATGAATATATTTGTGGTTGTTTGAATGAAAATGGCCCCCATAGGCTTCCACATTGGTGGTCACCAGGGAGTGGCCTTATTGGAGGAAGTGTATTACTGGGGGTGGGCTTTGAGGTTTTTAAAGCCCATTCTGAGACCAGAGTCTCTTTCATACTATTGCCTACAAATCCAGATATAGAACTCTTAGCTGTGTCTCCAGCACCATGTCTGCCTCCATGCCACCATGCTTCCTGCCATGATGACAGTAAACCTCTGAAACTGTAAGTCAGCCCCAAATACATACTTTTTGTTTTTTTGGTTTTTCAAGACAGCGTTTCTCGGTGTAGCTTTGGAGCCTATCCTGGCACTTGTTCTAGAGAACAGGCTGGCCTCGAACTCACTGAGATCTGCCTGCCTCTGCCTCCCAAGTGCTGGGATTAAAGGCATGTGCCAACAATTCAGTTTCCATGATCATGGTGTCTCTTCTTAGGAATCATACATTGACTAAAACAATATTATACATGGTAATTTTAAATAGATACTCTTTTGTGCATCTTATAAAGGTGAAATTCTAGATGTCTAAAAGTTATTTTGTATGATTGAGCTAATTCCCTCTTAATTTAGGGAAAGTTTGTGTGAAATAACTTAAATTTTTTTAAGTGCTGCTAAGCTTAGGGGCCAATCCAAACTAAATTAGAAACATAAAGTGAATCCATATTAATCATACAGCATCAACAAATTTTAGAAAGCTTAAAGTATGATTAAATCTCCATGATGAAATTTCAAAATATACTTCTACTTAATACTATGGAATAGTATTGGTTCCTATAGTGAACTATATACATGTCTATGTTGTATATGTGTGTATTCAATGCCTGGGGGAAATGGAGATAAGGGGAGAAAGAGAAACATATTCATGGTAAGATGTATAGAAAGAATATCAAGAGACTGTTAGAGTGTCTGCCTGCAGACACTGAATCATAGACCAAAACTCAATTATTCTGTGCATGAATAGCAATGAAAGGGTATTATCAAGCTACAGGCTATAACTAGCAAAAAAAACTGTTGAGAGTTTAAATGGGAAAAATAGAAACTGATAACTGTAAGACATTCATAATGAAATGCTATGTATAAGTTTAATTTTCTTACTTTCCAATGAAATTTGGAGTGCTATCTTCACTGTCTTTTAGGTTTGAAAAGTGGATTTTCTTTCAGTGGAATACAAAATGGAACCAAAGTCTGTTTTAGAGGATAACTTTTGAACTAAACAAGACAAAGCATGAACAGGGCTAGAGCAGCCACCGATACTGTTTCATAAGATAGAGGTCAGAGTACTTTTCTCTTTCACTGAATATTTTACATCCCAATGTCATACTTTTAAAGAACTGACTTTATTATTGGTGTCCTCTTCCTTACCCAGCAGCTCATCCTATTTCCACAAAGATGGCACTGGGAGAGTGACTATATGGTTGCTATTGTACACAGTGTGCTCACTGCCCTTTGCTTCAAGAAGGGAGTCACTGTGTCTAGCTGGCTACCTACTGCTCAATCCATGAAACTCCAATAGATCAGTCAAAACCAACAGACAAAGTCCTGCTCAATCTCAGTTACCAAAACATAATGATCAGACATAAGTGTGAGAGAGAAACAGATGGAGGAGAGGGGATGTGAGGGACGAGGGTGACCAGCATGCTCTGTGTAAGAGTGTAAAATTGTCTTAGACCAAACTCAATTAAATGTTAAATAAAAAAAAACAACCAATAATACTGGTTGAATTAACTTTTAAAAAGTCATGTTTCAGATTATTCCTTGCAAATACATTTCCTGAAGTGAAGTATAGATACAGATACAGGGCTAATAGATTACAAAGGTTTTCAGCATATACTACATTCAAGATTGAGGCATCTACCAAAGTGCTCTTTATCCACCATACTTTCTATGCTGCCTTTTTAAAAGGTTTTGAACTACTCTACAATTATTTCACTTACTTTTGCTTTAAATACCTTCAAATATTTACTAGTTAAACCACTTAAAAGTAGTAACTTATATGCCCATCTCTTTTGTCATTTATATAAAAAGCATAACATGGGGTAGCTAGCCTTTGCTACAATGTTTACTATGTTACATTGTAGCATTGTTTAGGAAGGTCCACTGAAACAGCATTTTTTAGTCCTTTCAGTTTTCCACTTAGTGCTTTTAACATTAAGAAACTTGATCTCAGTGTTACCATTGAAAAGCAATGGGTGTTACCAATTAATTACGATTTAAAATTACATGTATTCATTATTCCATCATAAAGTTGTTTTACAATTAGTGAATTGTTATATAATAATTTCATACATGTAACATGTGTGTCACAGGACAATTTTCTGTTCTGGGACTGTTGTAGTTCCATGAAGACTACATAAGTTTTGTTTCAGTTTTGTATTCTTTAGCCACTGGTAAGAGCAGCATTGCACATATTGCTGCTCTTTGGTTAATTATGTGAAGACATTTACAACCTGCTTTTCAACGTTCTGTTTCCCTTAATGACCTCCATTTCCTTAAAGGATGGATAGAGGTAGCTAGGCAACTGTAAGAAATGTTCTCTTGAAGATTTTGCCTTTATTGAAGACTTGCCCACATACTGGAAAATCCTTTCCCGGGAGACATATTCTGGAATCAAGGTAAGCGTCTCCTCACTGTCTGGATTTAGTTGCCACATGCATAGGTTTCGTAGTCTATCTTTCAATCTAGACTCGGCAGCTAGGCAAATGTTTGGTCTGGGAAGACCCAAAGCCCAGACATAGAATTTTTGTCATTGGCTGCATAGAGTGACATGATCAAGTGTTCACTCACAGGAATATTCCAGTAAGTAGATTTTAGCTCATTAAGGACTAAGGGAAATTTTCATAAAAGCATACTCACAGAACAGCACAGAGACCAACATCTTCATCAAAGTGCTTCCAAAATAGGCCAATGCCACTGAGAGGATTCCCTCATTGTGTATACATTCTTAAAGCAATCCTACACAAAGGTTTCTTGGGCAAGTGAGTCAATGGTCCTTGACCTTGGGCTCAGTAACCGCTGCTTGTTCACATTTGGGTGTCTCCTCCTCAAGAACCTCCACAATTGCCTCTTCCTCCTCATTTTGTTCAGTCTGGGCTTCTGATCCTCTCCCTGTGAACCCTTTCTTTCTGTGGAGTAGCCTTTGTATGTGGGGTCTCTGCAACTTCTTAGCATCAAACTAGAGTATTCCTCATAATTTTATTCCCTACCACCACCACCATCACCACCAACATCACCACCACACTGAACTAGGACCAATTGATGAGGATAAAGAAGAAGCAGTTAGTACCAGAAAATAGAGAAAACAAGGCTCTGAAGCCTGTTTATAGAGCTCTAAAAGGTTGGTGACAAGTGTCAGTTTTTTATTCTGGGGAATTCTCATTTTCAAGTGAGCATCTTGAAGCCATGGGACCTAAGCCCCAGTGTGGCAGGCAGGGATATATGTGCAGGGTTCCACTGCCACAGTGACTCTACGGAGAATAGGGACAGTTTGACTGTGCTACCACAAAGTCTCAAAAACATTTTTAAACATTTATATTGCTTCTTGAATATGTGTGTGTGTGTGTGTGTGTGACAATTCCTTCATAGCCATCATTATGCATTGGTGTTTCAAATATACTGATTTACATTCCAGGAAGGCCAGGGCCACAAGTCCTGATGATGTCACAATAAGTATCAACCCCTCACAAGCTGCAGAGAGAACATGCCCATGTTATCAATCAATTTCTGCAGACAATGTGATCCCTGCTGCAGAGTGTGAAGTTAAGAGAGTATGGAGGCAATGGTTTTAGAAGAAATGGCGTTATATTTACCACAATGCTGGGATTGTACATCTGCAGCGTTCTAATTCTATTTTTACATTTCCCTTGCCACTCGGAGCAAACTGGAAATTTCAGCAATGTGACAAACATGTAGCCACCGTCACACCTGGTTTCGTACGCAATTACCTTGTGAAGTCTGTCATCTCCATCATGATCATGCACATCTTCTTGGCGAGAACAATGATGTCATTGCTTGTGTCGTCCCAGATCTCGATCTCAGCATCCAGCTTGCTCTTCACCTTCTTGAAATCAGCTACTTGCTCTGCAATCTTCTCCCTTTCTGCCTCGGGCAGTTGAGTCATCTTAGCCTGAAATATGATGGTTCAATTTGAAATCATTTCTCTATAGAGGCAGCGTCTTAGGAAGAAACAGTCATACAGGACATTATTACAATTAGTTCATTTAAAATCAGGGTACCTGGAGCTTAAGTCATCCAATCTCAGCTTTCCTATTTGATTCAAAGAGGAAAAGCTACACAAATTTCAATATTTGCCTCAAAGTATACAGCTACGTTTAAAGTTAGAACGGTAGACTTTGGTGTCTGATTTTTGAGTTCTTCTCTATAAAATAGCCTGCTACTACTTTCGTAATATATCAAAATTTTAAATTGAATCTGATGCATAATACTTGTTAAAATGCATATTCTTCATATAGTTTTAATTATATTAATTGAACACTTCAAGAGATAAATTTAAACAGAATATTTGAAATGACACTATGTATACTTATCTTTATGTGCATGCACACACACATATATACTTAATTAAGCACAGTATGTATATACATTCATAAACAATTACAGAATATGCTCATATAAACATAGATAAAATGTATATTTTATACAAGCAAAACCTTCAGATCCATATTAGCATATATACCGTTCCCCTGGAAGAATTAGAGTGAAGGGCAGGATTTATGAAGGGCATCCTCCCTTATTAGCATACCAGGTCTAGAGGTGCTGCTCAAGCAGCAAACATTCTCTGCTTTGGCATGATAGCAGTCTGTGGATATGTTACATTCTTAACAGCATGCAAATTGCATCTTCCCATTGCATCTGAAATGAGGCTTTGGTAGGAAACCATGCAAACTCTAACACGACTGAATTCTCAACCTCAGCGCTTGGAATCTGTCAGTTTTGTAAAATAGAAGAAAAAAAAAAGAATCCTGTAGTGAAAAATGATTTGATACTTTAAAGACCATAAAATTTCATGAAGCTCTCCTTGCAATTATATTGTCAAACAGTGAGGTCCAGACCCAGTCCCAGCAATACACACACACACACACACACACACACACACACACACACACACACACTCATTCATACATACATACTCAGACACACACATACACACCCAGATAAACACACACACACAAACACACAAATACACACTCACATATATAGACACATGCATGTACACACAGAGAGAGACATACATACACACATACATCTGTGAACGTATGCACACACACACACACAAACACACACATAAAAGACACAGTAGAATGTCAGATACTTTCTAATAGTAGGTGTGTGTGGAAGGAAAGAGGGGGTGTTTTGAAAAGGACAAAACATGAATGCTGAAGTTTCTTATTAGACTATTTACATAGAAAATATTATATCTACAAGGATTTCTGGATTCTAGTGATTGGGCATCTACGGAGGGGAAATGAATATCAGAAACCTTTGTGATTTTCTTAATATTAGGTTCAAAAGTAGTAAAAACATTTCTTACTAGATCAATAATATATAGTAACAACAAAAGCTTAGCTAAATTAAATAAAGAAATTAGGTTGGGTGTGGGTATGCATACCTTTAATCCCAGCACTCAAGAGGCAGAGGCAGGAGGATTTCTGGTAGTTTGAGGCCAGGCTGGTCTACATGGAGAGTTTTAGGCCAGTCGGGGATACATAGAGAGTTCGTGTCTTTAAAAAATTTAAAATAATATTAAGTAGACAATACAAACAAAAATACAGATCAAAGAATCAATATGTATGGAGTGTCATTTATCATTAGCTTATTACTAACCTAACCTAGGATCTCAACCTGGATTAGGATGCCTTGCCTGACATCTACCATAGCAAATACAACCAACAGTAAGGCTTTCTAGTGTGGTTTCCTTAAAATCCATTAGCATAAGCCTTACATGTCTTAAGAGTTCAACAAATGACATATTTCTTATTCAAAAGAAAATTTATCAATATACATTCATATTTCCAGCACATTTTCAGTTTTCCATTTAATTTCCTTTGAAGACTAAGGTTAAACTTCCTAAGGTTAGGATTTTTTCTAAAGAGTTACTTTATTTTTAATTATGCATATGTGTATGTGGGGGGTGTGGAGAGGGTGCAGCAGTGTGTTTGTGTGTGGGTGTGTATGAGCACATGGTTTACGGTGGCTGTGAGGGACAGAGATGAAAGTCCCCATGAAGCTGTTGTGACTGACAGTTGGGGACTGAACTCAGGTCTTCCTCAGGAACAGTGCCTGCCCTTAGTCACTGAGTCATCTCTCCATCCCAGAAGCTAGATTTTTAATTATTGAGCTATACAATTTTTGTTTCTTAGCAATAAAAAGTAGTTTTTTTTTCTTTCTCTTTTAGGAAATGTGTCCTATGCAGAGTGCTAAAGCCAAGCAGCTTTTACTACTGCTGGCAAATGGTAAGGGATGTAAATGAAGACACAGCTCACTACTACCAGAATCAAAAGTAATACACAAGTATGTTAAGTAAATTGTAAGCTATCAACCCATTAAATGAACTTGGAAACAGAAATGGGTTTTCTCCACCTTGAATATTGGTCATTATTTTTCTCCTCTCATGTTTACACATTCAAGTACTAATAACTGTGAAATAGATTCAACAGAGCCATCTTTGTACATCCTACATGTGAGAGATAATGATTCTGTGGTGCTGGTCATGCTGAATTTACTATTATTATTATCATTATTAGGCAGCTTTACACAGGGAAGAAGGACTCTCAACTGAGAAAATGTCTCCATCATACTGACTTGTAGGCAAATCTATGAAGCATTCTCTTGATTAATGATTGATGTGGGAGGGCCCAGAACTCTGGGAACATTGCAGGTGGTCCTGACTTGTATGAGAAAACAGACAGAGCAATATGTGAGGAGCAAGCCGTGAAAGCAGCACTCCTCCATCGACTCTGCTTTAGTACCTGCCTCTAGGTTGTGGCCCTGCTTGAGTTTCTACCCTGACTTCCAACAGAAATGGGCTGCTAACAATAAATATATGATAAAGCAAACTCTTTCCTCCCCAAGTAGCTCTTAGCCATGTGTTTTAATCATAGTGATAGTAATGATAAGATACCGATAACCAGGATAACCCATAATGCTGATGGAATTTTAGAGAATATTAGGGAAAGTTACTTACTAATGACATAACAAAATATTAAGGCGGTCATGTGGTCAAGAGTATTACAAGTTCTATACCGAGTAATGTCACTGATCTCCTATAAGATCTCTAGGAACTCCTTAATCCACTTGCATAAGTTTCCCCAGAAACAAAGTGAAAAAATTACCACTTTTACCCTTCTCTTAAGGGAGCCCAGTGTCAATAGAAACTGTCACAGACAGGATACTCTACATTGCATCCAACATACTCTCAAATCACGTGGTGAGTTACAATCAAATGACTTTCAGATCCAACAAGAGAACAGTCAGTAGTTGAGCAAGAAATTGTAAAATTGAAAGTTCTAGAAAATTCTAGTTATTCTTTGCACAGGACAGCAACAATAATGAGACATTAAATTACTATCTGACACCTTTACTGAAGGGTTTAAGTAGATCTATGAATAATTTATTAAATTCCATCAATCAATTTCAATCACTGGGAAAATTTAAAAGTAAAACCCAAGAGAATACTTTATGTTGAGGATTCCAGATTTTTTTTTAAAAAATGTTTTTTTGAATTATTTTGTACAAGGTATGAAAAGAAATAAGAATGAAGCTTAAGACAAATTAGGCCAAGTAGAAAATCTGACATGTATAATCAGGTATCTCTATGTCTACGTCAGCATCTACAAAACAGAATTCTGATACAAATAGCTTTTGGGGTTCTTGCCATATGAATGATACTGCATTGTGTATCTATTAATTTGGGAAATTAAAACCAAAGACAATGAAAATAGCTGCCATTGACTTGTTCCATACTCTTTCTAGGCACCATTTATTTATTTGAGGTCCTATCTTCATGAGGTCACTACTAGGGTTACCCCAATTTACACATGAGAAAAATAAGTTATCTCCAGGAGACTAAGCATTTGAATAAAGAGTCTAGTGTTGGGCAATATTTGAACCAGGGTTCAAACCATAAAGTGTAGCCAGGAATTCTTGTTCTGTTACTATGACAACAAACATGAGTAATGCCATCCCAAATGCACCAAAACACCCACACTGTCCTTGGAGGTATTCTCAGAATCAGTTTTCACTCTGCTGTCTCCATTATAGACTGTGTTGAGTGTCTACATTTCTAGAAATACTTAATCACAGATAAGGAAAAGCAAACTTGCCAAACAAATCTACATATTTGATGGATGTGTCTGAGAGTAAGTTTTCCATATGGACTAGAAACCTCAAGAAATGCAACCCTTGCTTTTCTTTATTATTCTATTTTCCTAAAGATAAATCATGCCCTTATCATCTGTCACATTTCATTGTGTGTCCATCTCATCCTATGTAGGTTTCTCTCCACTTTCTGGCATTAATTTCCTATTTCATTTGAATGTTTACTTCAATTGTACAATTCTTACCATTTTTTGTTTGTTTGTTTTGTTTTGTTTTTCGAGACAGGGTTTCTCTGTGTAGCTTTGGGGCCTATCCTGGCACTCGCTCTGGAGACCAGGCTGGTCTCGAACTCACAGAGATATGCCTGCCTCTGCCTCCCGAGTGCTGCGATTAAAGGCATGTGCCACCAACACCCGGCCCTGATATTTTTAAAGGAGCTAGAGGTGATCTCTGTGAGTTCGAGACCAGCCTGGTCTCCAGAGCGAGTGCCAGTATAGGCTCCAAAGCTTCACATAGAAACCCTATCTCGAAAAAACAAAAAAACAAAAACAAAAACAACAAAAAAAGACAATTCTTACCATTTTTAATAACAGAATAAAACAGGAAAACATTTTGGTCATAAATATATCATCGGAATTATTTTTAATAATTTATTTTATGTTTTGATTAATTACAACAACATTTTCTCCCTTCAAAATGTTACACATACCCTTCTATTCTATTTTTTAAATTCATTGCCTTTTTATTAATTGTTGTTACATATATGTATGTTACATACATACATATATA